AACCAATTTATTGTAAAATATTTTTTATTCTACAATTTTTACCAAAATTAATGTAATAGGGAGAGGATTCGAACCTGTGAACTCTCATCAGGATTATTGAAAGGTTGACCATTACGACACTTTATCGATTTTAATGCAATTGAAAAAATTCAAATTCGTGCTCTTCCTTTAAATTATACAAAACTCAGCTACAATATAATTTGGGGAATATTACTAATTTGTACAACAAAATTATATATGTTCAGTTTGAATCAATTGTTATATTTAAATTTTAGACCTTGTTTGGTTCTTTTTTTTTTTCAATAAATTTTAGACCTTATTTGATTCCCCATTTTTTCAAAATCCATTTTTTCTCTCTTCTTTCCAACCACACATTTTCAATAAAATACTATTAAATGCAAATTCAAAATTTTTCCTTATTTCTAACCACATGTTTTTCATCAAATCACTGTTTCAAAGTGCATTTTTTTTTTTTGCATAGGCATGGGGCTCTTAATATTTTATTGCTGTCAACGGTGGACGGTTAACGACCACCTATGCCGGCTCAAAATCTTGGATTGCCATTGGACGTATCAAAGGTCTCTTATCCTAAAACCATAATCACCTCTAAGAGCATGTCTCTCCATATTGAATTGAAGAAGAGAGAACAAATTCGCAAATTATCTCACAATTTCATTTCTCATATTGCTCAAATCGTGCTGAATATGAATTTCACACATCGTCCTTCACTTCTTTAGTTTTGCTAATCGAGCTTACTTCTTAGGTCATGATACTTTTGACTTTTGTAACATGAACATGATGAGTTATCGAACCGTGATGACTGCTCCATGTCACTTCGTACTTGCCTACTATTTTGGGTTGATGTCCGGGTCGGTTTTAAGACATTGGAACGGTGCTGGGCGTGGATTAATGGCCACAACTGCCTTTCTTCGGGTAATTAGCAGAAATGGTCCCCAACGTTTACACCCTTTGCTAAAATGGTCCATATCGTTTTAAAATTGGCATTTGTACCCTTATTTCAAACGTTTCTTGCGGAATTGGTCCTTCCATCCAACAACCGTTAAACAACCGTTAGAACCTTTTGAAAATTTGCAGAAATGGT